TAACGCGCTAAAATGCACTTAGCCGTGCACCTTACGCTACAAAAATCACTCCTCTGGAGTCCATTGTTGTTTTATGTGTTAAAACTCACTGACCTTTACAGCGGAATTGAATGTACGGCTATTAAAACTCTGAGCTTGCACTGCACGTTGCTACTTTAGTTTCAATGACAAGAGGAATTGTGAATGATGATATCAGTGGAAGTTTTTTTTTCACTTACGTTGAATTCTCGTTTTGTAGAGTACATTTTGTGGACCCATGCCGACCATGGTATATTAAATGATCTAATTTTGACGATGTACAATTGATGTAATATGAATATAAAATAACGAGCTGGATTGACAGTAAGGGCTGTAAATTCTCAGCAAAGATGCGCAGAGGCGCTCTTGCGGCCGTCTGGAACGTTCTTCCGATATTAGAACGCCATTGGAAATATGCACTTTTAATTATAGATTCAAAACTCATTTCTTTAGAACTGCTTTTCGGCTTTTGGTTTGTTGTTCTTCGACCGCACCTCCGATTAGCATGGTTGGTTACGTAGAGTGCGGAATAAATTCAACGTACATACAATGTACGTTGAACAATGTGTGTAAGAACAATAAGTACGGTCGCCTTGTCAGTCCACTGATGGATGAGACCCAAGACTCTTGAGTCCACGGGCATTGTTTGACCCATACCTCACCGCACTGGTAATAATTGTTGGCTGTTGAGGAAATTCTCATCGACGTGGCATCCCCGAGTGGTGGTGTGCGTAGCATGTTGCATCGTTCGTGGTGACATGTGTGGAAAAAGAGCTTGATAGCTCATCAGATTCCTCCAGTGTAAATAAATATTCTGATTCTGATGTTTACCCGCCCGAACCAAGCGTACGCGTGGCACTTACGGGGATTTAAACATGCTTACAAGGACCTTTAATAACAGATTAAATTTCCGAATTGCACACAAATATTGAACATCGGCGCTACTTTAAGTAATTGTTTAAATGCTATAAATTCTCAGCAAGGTTACCGACGATGCTCTTGTTCAACAATTAAGAGGTTTTAATCTGTTTGAACACAGAAACCAAAGGCAAAAAAAAATCCTCCTTTTAATCTGGCTTATCTGTGGAGCACGGCGAACGGAATACGTGTGTCATGAAATCTGACATTCAGCCGTGTACCTTCTCACGCACGACTTGTTCAAGAGGCAATTAAGGAGAGTCATCACCAAATGCAGATGTCATCAAAATGACGAAACGCTCCGATACTTGCATCGCCTTCGTACTGTTTTGCCTTTTGTCGTCCTGTGGTCTGACACTGGCCAGACAAGGCCACAAAGAAGGCCCTCTCTGGTGTAGACCAATCACTTTCAATGTCAATGCATCATATATTACACTGGTCAACACACTTTTTCTGGCATAAGGTATTCCAACGGTTTTAAGGTCATTTTGGGGTGCTGATTCCAGTTTTTGTCTGTCACATCAGGTTTTTGAGATATCAAATATTGCATTTTCAATAAAAACTGCAGAAGAAAAATATTAAATAAATGTGGATATCTACATAAAATGATATTATAAACACACTATCCTAAAAATACAGCACCATATTTTAACACTAAAGCAGTCACTGACTCGCAACAGCTTGCAATCATAAGTGACAGAGTAAATTTCTGGTAAAATCAATGAAAATGGGGTATGCCGATAGCATAAAAATGAGATGTGATAGAGAAAATCTGAGATCAGATTTGGAATCAGCACCCTGAAATTAGTCTAAAACAGCTGCAAAAGTCCGGGCCAAAATTTTTTTTTGTTGACCAGTGTTATTAGAGCATGTTTGTGTTGCATGTTTGCTACAAGTGTGTGTGATTAATGCAGACGTTATACCTTGCAACGGTTATCTATTTGGTGTTCGAGCATATTCACGCCTGCTTGATTGCCACCTGTTATTTTTTTTACCAAATGGACTGCATGCAGTGTGTAGTTATGTGTGTGGAGACGTAAATACATCAAATCTCTTTTGAATACCTTTAGAAGTGTAGTCTGCATACGGACATCTCCGCTGATGTTAAGACATCTCAATCGTGCAGATCTCAGTCGCGAAATAAAACCGTCTGTTTCCGAGGGAATCAACCCGGTTTGCCAAATGGGAGGAGGCAGCGCCGCATGTGAAACTTCAAGTGAGCGATGCCCTTCACGATATCAACAAAAAAGGCAATCATCTGGACCAGGTGGACTTCATCAAAGAAGCAGGAAGGGCCGGTGGAAGACAAAAAAAATAACAAAGCAGACCGATTTACTAAAAATATTTTCCATTTTTGTTTTCATTCTCAGGTTCAAGGATGATGTCAACAAATCACCAGCTGTGCTTCCGAGTCATCACGTCGCTCCGCGGCCACAATGCCGGAGAGATGGCTCGCCGCACGATGCGCAGTCGCACGCTCCCGGTTGGACCGTTCTCTGAAACATGATTCATCTGCCAGTTCCCAGCTGTTCCAGGTTGGAGTTGTGGATGTTAGGAGTTTTGTGCAGGTTCCGTCTCAGGACGTCTTTTAAAGCCTTACACGTGAGTGCACAGTATGTTGCACTTCTTTCGCACCGTACATAAGCAACCGTGCTCATCGGACGTGCGGGGGGAAAGACAAGAAACTCAACAACAAAAGCATCTCTAGAGAAATTAGTTTTCAATCTCGATTTAAAAGTGCCCAGCTCCAGTGGCTTCCTAATATCGGAAGGAAGAACGTTCCAGACGACCACAGAAGCGCATCGAAAAGCGCGCGATGCGGTGACCGTCTTTGTTCGGCGGCCAACCAGAAGCCGCTGCGCTGTCAGGATGACCGGAGTGTCACGTGATGATGGTCTATGCTCCTTGACGAGACCAGCAAGCTACTGCGGTTCGTTTGTGTCAAGCACTTTGTGTGTGATGAGCGCGACCTTACGATGTGTTCATTCGACGACCGGACTGCCAATGCAGATCAGCGAGCACTGCACGGACATGGTCGGATCTTGCAGTAATCCGAGTTGGGAAGACCCGAGTTCGAGAATATGGGGCTAGATAGTGGAGAGCGCAAAGGCGCACGGAGCGATGGCAATGATTGGAATCGCCCTGAAGGACAGAAAGAGGGAACACACAGACCGGAGGGAAAATTCTAATTAGTGCCATTGTTACATAACCCGTGAATAACAGGAAGCGGCCTTGGACATGCAGAACTCGTGACGAAAAAGGGATGATAGCCGGTGGACAAGGGCTTAATGGTGGAGCGGCAGCACGAAGGGATCGCGCCTGAGAGTGGGATCGCCCACGAGATGGAGCGATGTGCTTTTATGTTAATTTAAGTATCATGATTATTTGATGAAGCAGGTGAGAACTCAAGAGGCCAGGATAGTCTGATTTGCCAGCGTCACCCGGATCAAGATGTCATCTCCCTCGCCTGGTATGCAGGAGGTCGGGTGTTCGATCCCGACCTTGACGTTTGTATATTTGGAGTTTACATGTCTCTCTCTCTCCCGGTGGTCGCGTGGATTTTTTCTCCGGGTTCTCCGGTTTTTCCCTCCACATTTAGAAACACGCATTGAGACGATTTAGATTCTAGATTTGAAGCTTTCGTGACTGCAAGGATTCATACTCTTAGTTCTTTCGGTAAAGTCACGTAGGTAAAAAATTAAATTTAAATTAATAAAAAATAAAATAATAATATTATTAATTTTAATTTCATTTTTTACCTACGTGACTTGACCGAAAGAACTAAGAGTACGATTTAGATTATTTTGGTGCTCTAAATGACCAATTGATGGACCACTTTGTTGAGCTATCATTTATGGGCAGGTCGCTTCTGAAAAATAAGTTAATAGCTCAGTGGGCTTTGCCTGGCAGGATGGGGGATAGTTAAGTTGTATTTGTATGTGTGTTTGGGTGATTTGTTTACCTTTATTGTACTATGCACTACTATTATGTTTTTGTACTGTTTGTTGTTGAAACGTTTTTACCCGCCCGTACTTGACGTCTGTGAGAAAGAGCTTTCTAGCTCATCGGATTCCTCCAGTATGAATAAATGTTCTGATGATTCTGAAGTTGGAGAGATGTACGGGAGCTAGATGGATTGTTGCAAGGTGAGACTCATGTAAGAGATGGTGGTGAATTCGGGAGGTCTACATCCAGCAGTAGATAGATTATGGCTACTGCTACTACTTATGGTGACCAATGCATACATCGTCACATGTGATACGTATCTCAATGTGTTATGTATCTTGAAATCTTTTCGCACCGTATGTAGTCAACCGTGCTAATCGGAGGTGCGGGAGTGTTTCACCGTTCACGTGGTCAAATAAAAAAAATACTGAAACGTCAGACCTACTTCTACCAAGTTCCCCTACGCCTCGCAAATAGAATGAAACTAAGCGCATGTGTGTCACAAGTGTACACTGGCGATGTCGAAATTGGCTTTTAAAAGCGAATTCACTCAACAAAGAAACACTTTAAGTGTGTCTCAACTCACATAAAGGTATGGTTACCATACCTCAAAGTTTTAAGGCCCTGTTTTACAGCTGCGTAGCAAAGTCGTTGTCGAGAGAGAGAAAAGGTAACCCGTCCTCTTTTGTGAAAATGGGCTGGGCAGCGTTACATATTCGGCAACATCGTTAATCATTGCCAAATAATTTAGGCGCACACGTTCCAACGCTTTGCGAAACATATCACAGAGTGCACTCTTTGCGTGTTGCTATAATATGTAAATCCGAAACTGATGTCACATGTGTGGTTATATTTATCTAAAACAGCTGATTGTCAGCCAGCCAGCCAGCAAAGCTTTTTTTTGTCGAATACAGGATGCGAGCGCCTCCCGTGTTTTTGCAGTGGCGGACGCGAGATGAAGCCAGAAGTCGTCGTTCAGAAACGACTAAATGAATGCCTCAATCTCATTTGGGTTAAGATGCACGACCAGAATAACGAGACACAGTTGGGCGTATGTGACTTGGCATAGGATGACAACAACCACGTCATTGCAAAATGAGGTTTTCTTCAAAGCGCAGTCTTTTAATTAAAACATTCATGAATAATACATTTGATTTCATTGACTTAATTTAGGGATTAAACACATTTTTTCGTGCGTATTATAATTTACACACATGCGGGTGTACACGTAGGTCTAATGCTGTTATTACAATCTGGCAATACTGTAGCCCGTGCAGAGTCAATGTTTGTTTTTTAAAGGGGCCATTGCGGGTGGGAATCAAAGCAAGATAACCTTACATTAAAGGCACAGTAACAATTGGCTTTTGTGTACATTCGAGCCCTTTCATAAACTATAGAGCAAAGATTACAGTCAAATATTGGGCTAATGGATAGAAGCGGAACAAATCCACAACAGCATACAAATAATAATATCGGAACCAAAGCCTGTGGCAATTCACACAACACCTTTCATTGCCGATTCAATGTGTTTTAGAGGTGGCGATCAGGGCCGTTGAGACAATCGATGTGTTTTGTTGCACATCCCAATCAGCCACACGGCCTTGTGGGATTCCGGCAGCATCGGTTCAACCAAGGAAAACTGAAACCGTTTTTGACATCGCTAAAACCCCGTGGTTGGAGTCAGAACACCGACCCGTGGCACGTGCGTTTGTACAAACGGCAGGAGCGGTCTTAGTCGCCTCGTGGCCGGTTTGCCCTTGTTCCAGTTCAAAGGTGAAGGTTTGCTCAACACTGGAATTGCTTTGTCACGCCGCTGCTGCTGCTGGGCGGAGGGGGGAGAGCCACCAACGAGACGGAGATTAGTTCTTGTGTTTGGTCTACTCTTCCACGCTGCCCAGAAGCGTTGGAGGAGGTGGGCGTTCCAACACTTTACCGCAGCGCACGCGATCTGCCGGTTGACTGAGTTGTGGTGAAACCATAATCTTGGTTCTATGAACATAAATTAAAAATTACAAAATAAATTAAAAATAAAAGCAAAAACCACACTTAGACATCTGCTGGGTGTGCTGCGAACCATTGCAGGCCGGTTGCGACAGCTCCCTTCGTTTCATATTATGTCATACCCACAGTGATCTAGAGGAGCGGCAGAAGAGAAAATAAATAAAGTTTTGCTGACTGGTTTCATGCCCGGATTCCTGTCCGCCTGCGTGGCCGGGCGTGTCCCGCTCGGAAAAAGGCGCAGGATCGTGACCCTGCTGGACGATGTTAGACACATTTATTTTGTTCGACACATTTATTTTGTTAGACGCATTTATTTTGTTAGACACATTCATTTTGTTAGACACATTTATTTTGTTAAACACATTTATTTTGTTAGACACATTTATTTTGTTAGACACATTTATTTTGTTAAACACATTTATTTTGTTCGACACATTTATTTTGTTAGACACATTTATTTTGTTAGACGCATTTATTTTGTTAGACACATTTATTTTGTTAGACACATTTATTTTGTTCGACACATTTATTTTGTTAGACACATTTATTTTGTTAAACACATTTATTTTGTTAGACACATTTATTTTGTTAAACACATTTATTTTGTTAGACACATTTCTTTTGTTAGACGCATTTATTTTGTTAAACACATTTATTTTGTTAAACACATTTATTTTGTTAAACACATTTATTTTGTTATACACATTTATTTTGTTAGACGCATTTATTTTGTTAAACACATTTATTTTGTTAGACACATTTATTTTGTTGGACACATTTATTTTGTTAGACGCATTTATTTTGTTAGACGCATTTATTTTGTTCGACGCATTTATTTTGTTAGACGCATTTATTTTGTGAAACACATTTATGTTGTTCGACACGTTTATTTTGTTAGACGCATTTATTTTGTTAAACACATTTATTTTGTTAAACACATTTATTTTGTTAGACACATTTATTTTGTTAGACAATTTTTTTTTTTGCTCGCTGGCTGGCTGTTAGTCTCGGTTTAAAATTGTGAGCACGTTACGTTTATTGCTCTAAGCGGCAAACCGGTTTCTTGTCCTTCCCAATGCGGTAACAGGTTATGCAACATTAATAGCCGCAGCAATGATCTGTTGTTGACGTGAATGTTAACAGCCTTGCACGTTCAAGATAACAAGTGAATAACAATCGCCTGAAGTGAGATCTGCTGCCTCTAAAACCTTAAACATAAACAGAAAAACGCGTATCTGCAGTAAGTAGGGAGAGCGGCGTGATGCAGCATCCTCTGTTGCAAATCCCAAGGCATCAAAGATAATCCCAAAACCCATCATCAAACAAGACAATAACAGCTCACTCTGGGTTAGCCTACATAGCTATTGAAACACGCAAAGACACAGAATCTCCCCTTTTAGCCTTTGACAGGACCGCTTAAAATATTTGTTATTTGGTCGATGGAGTGGGAATCGAACTCGGGACGCTGGGTTCGCAGCAGCGCAGTGCGTTAACCACTGCGCCACCGCTCTCCACGTTGAAACGCAAAGACGAAGATCCCCCGTGTAGCCTTAACAGACTGTTGGGGCAAGTGCTGTTAGCGAGCACCTATGAAGGCCGGCACGGTACACGAGGGGGTTGGTGGTCAAACACCACGCCCGGCCGCCTTTGTCTCCCCAGTGGCGATGTTTACTACACACCGCACCAGGTACTCATTTGAGGCTGAGTCGACCTAGGGGAGGGCCCAGGACCGGTTCAGGTAATCGTCACCGGTGTTGTTGGTCGTGAGCGGCAATTGAACCCGGGTCGCCGGGTTCGCAGCGCAGCGTAGCGCTAACCGCTGCACCACCGCTCCCCACACACACACGCGATGTAAAGTTGAAATCTATTATTTTCAAATGAGTCTGCAGTTGTCCGTCGTTATTTACTTATTATATATTTTTTTACGTCCATTAATGGGAACTGCGGTTTGGCCCCCACAACTGAATCCCTATCCGTCAACGCCTTCTGGACTTTGAATACTAACGAGTTCCTATTTTACACTTTATTAACTACGTAAACAGGATTACTACGACAACGGCGCAGTAGCGAGTGCAAAAAACCCCAAATCTTTTATCTTTTGAGTGAGGTCGTGGTTAAGGGCGCTCCTAAGAGAGCCGCCTTATTGCTGACGAACACGACGTGCCTCCGAAATGCCACGACATTTTCTGAACACAGTAATTTCCACGGGTAAGACATGAAACATTTTTTTTTTGCAATCGTATCCACTGATAATTGAGAGGAAAGCATGCACCATCAGCGCCTTTTACAGCACATTACTGCGCCTAAAAGTCACGGTTCGTGCCTTAAAACTTGAATGAGCGATTGCGACATCCAAAGCAGCATCGTCGTCGTCAGTAGCTCGGGGTAGGTGGGGGAGGGTGTGAGGGTGAGTGAGGATGAGTGAGGGTGTGTGAGGGTGAGTGAGGGTGTGTGATGGGGAGGGTGTGAGGGCGAGTCAGGGTGAGTGATGGGGAGGGTGTGAGGGTGAGTGATGGGGAGGGTGTGAGGGTGAGTGAGGGTGTGAGGGTGAGTGATGGGGAGGGTGTGAGGGTGAGTGAGGGTGAGTGATGGGGAGGGTGTGAGGGTGAGTGAGGGTGTGAGGGTGAGTGATGGGGAGGGTGTGAGGGCGAGTAAGGGTGTGTGAGGGCGAGTGAGGGTGTGTGAGGGTGTGAGGGTGAGTGAGGGTGTGAGGGCGAGTGAGGGTGTGTGAGGGTGAGTGAGCGTGTGAGGGTGAGTGAGGGTGAGTGAGGGTGTGAGGGTTGTGAGGGTGAGTGAGGGTGAGTGATGGAGTGAGGGTGTGTGAGGGTGAGTGAGGGTGTGTGAGGGCGAGTGAGGGAGGAGGGTGAGTGAGGGTGTGAGGGTGTGTGAGGGTGAGTGAGGGTGTGTGAGGGTGAGTGAGGGTGTGAGGGTGAGTGAGGGTGAGTGAGGGTGTGAGGGTGAGTGAGGGTGAGTGAGGGGGTGTGGGGGTGAGTGAGGGTGTGAGGGTTGTGAGGGTGAGTGAGGGTGTGTTAGGGTGAGTGAGGGTGAGTGAGGGGGTGTGGGTGTGAGGGTGAGTGAGGGTGAGTGAGGGTGTGAGTGAGGGTGAGTGAGGGGGTGTGAGGGTGAGTGAGGGTTGTGAGGGTGAGTGAGGGTGAGTGAGGGGTGTGGGTGTGAGGGTGAGTGAGGGTGTGAGGGTGAGTGAGGGGGTGTGGGTGTGAGGGTGAGTGAGGGTGAGTGAGGGGGTGTGGGTGTGAGGGTGAGTGAGGGTGAGTGAGGGTGAGTGAGGGTGTGAGAGTGTGAGGGTGTGTGAGGGTGAGTGAGGGAGTGAGGGTGTGTGAGGGTGAGTGAGGGAGTGAGGGTGTGAGGGTGTGAGGGTGAGTGAAGGTGAGTGAGGGTGTGAGGGTGAGTGAGGGTGAGTTAGGGTGTGAGGGTGAGTGAAGGTGAATGAGGGTGAGTGAGGGAGTGAGGGTGTGTGAGGGTGAGTGAGGGAGTGAGGGTGTGTGAGGGTGAGTGAGGGGGTGTGAGGGTGTGAGGGTGAGTGAGGGAGTGAGGGTGTGTGTGGGTGAGTGAGGGTGTGAGGGTGAGTGAAGGTGAGTGAGGGTGTGAGGGTGAGTGAGGGTGTGAGGGTGAGTGAAGGTGAGTGAGGGTGTGTGAGTGAGTGAGTGAGGGTGTGTGAGGGTGGTGAGGGTGTGAGGGTGAGTGAGGGAGTGAGGGTGTGTGAAGGTGAGTGAGAGTGTGGGAGGGTGAGTGAGGGTGTGAGGGTGAGTGAGGGTGTGAGGGTTGTGAGGGTGAGTGAGGGGATGTGAAGGTGAGTGAGGGGGTGTGGGTGAGTGAGGGGGTGTGGGTGTGAGGGTGAGTGAGGGTTAGTGAGGGTGGGTGAGTGGATGGGTGAGTGAGGGTGGGTGAGGGTGGGTGGATGGGTGAGTGAGGGTGAGTGAGGGTGGGTGAGGGTGGGTGGATGGGTGAGTGAGGGTGGGTGGATGGGTGAGTGAGGGTGGGTGAGGGTGGGTGGATGGGTGAGTGAGGGTGGGTGGATGAGTGAGTGAGGGTGGGTGAGTCAGGGTCTGTGAGTGAGGGTGGGTGGATGGGTGAGTGAGGGTGGGTGGATGGGTGAGTGAGGGTGGGTGGATGAGTGAGTGAGGGTGGGTGAGGGTGGGTGGATGGGTGAGTGAGGGTGGGTGAGGGTGGGTGGATGAGTGAATGAGGGTGGGTGAGGGTGGGTGGATGAGTGAGTGAGGGTGGGTGAGGGTGGGTGGATGGGTGAGTGAGGGTGGGTGAGGGTGGGTGGATGAGTGAATGAGGGTGGGTGAGTGGGTGGATGGGTGAGTCAGGGTCTGTGAGTGAGGGTGGGTGAGGGTGGGTGGATGGGTGAGTGAGGGTGGGTGAGGGTGGGTGGATGAGTGAGTGAGGGTGGGTAAGGGTGGGTGGATGAGTGAGTGAGGGTGGGTGAGGGTGGGTGGGTGAGTGAGTGAGGGTGAGTGAGTGAGGGTGGGTCTGTGAGTGAGTGAGGGTGGGTGATGCGAGGCTGAGTGGGCGTGTGTTGATCGAGGGTCGTGGCTCACCCGCGGGCTGGGAATGACAGTGGCGCTGATGGTGATGTCGTTCAGTCAGTCCTCTCTCAGCAGTGCGGTGGTGTGGCAGTGAAACATTTGTTTGGCTTCGTTATCGCGATCCGCGGCTGTTCGGAGAGAGGCCGAGAGGAAGTGGGAGGGGGGTGAGCTGGAGTGAGAGTGGGGCCGTGCTAAGAGTCGTGCTGGGCACTTTAAGATCCCGCTACGAACTCCCAACACGTGTCCCGGACTCATCCTGAACCAGCAGCAGCAGCAGGAGCAGCAGCAGGAGCAGCATCAGACTCCGAGATTATCGCCACCGGATCAGGTAAGTCCACGGGTCATTCGTTCGGCGCGATCCACGTACAAATACAGCAGCATTGAAGAAGTAACAATAACGTAGTCGTTTTATGGGGGTTTTTTTTCGTAACACAGTTTTTGCTGAGCTATATACATGGCCTAAGGGCCCAACTCGTCAAGCGATAGGCAACAATGAGCACTGTCAAATCGGCATTTATGCACGCGTTAGCGGGTCAATTGTTTGAATAGAGAAAAGTTACTGTTCTAGGAATGATAGATTTTTCTTTTTTAAAACCCACAATATTTGTGAACGCAAGTCCTCTCTTTACACGACTTCCCACCAAATTAAATCGGCTGTGTTAACGTTAACCCGTGGTGTGGTGGCTATGCACGTGGCTTGCCAGCCAGCACTGTGGAGACTTACTGTTGGTGGATCACTCAAGTGTTGTGAAACTCCCTTCCCGTGGATGGGCATCGACGATGAGCCTTAACCCTGGCTTTGGCCACAAGACGGCGGTCCGGAAATCATGCGGACTCACCACCAGTTCCATCTGTCTGTACGCACGGGGGATAGAGTGTTACCCCCTCGCTCGCACGCACGTGCTTTATCGGGGTGCTCCGGTTTCCTCCAACATGTACAAACACGCATTTATTAGTCGATAACAAATTCGTAAGTAGAGGGCCGCAGAGCTTGGACAATTGTCGGTAGCGCCGCCGCCTCTTCCTCGCCCGCGCCTCTCAGTCCTTTATCTTTGTTCAGAGAGTCAGCGAATACTTGATACACTTCTTATCACATAGCCCGTCTTGTGCTTATGAATTTAAATCATGCGATAAGCTGAAAAGCGGAGTGCTTTTAAAAAATATATATCTGCGAATGTATCACCCTGCGTATCATCAAAATGTAAACCTCTCTGTGGTTGCGAGAAGATTTGCATATTGACATCCTTCTGTGTGTGCTGGAACGCGTGTGACTTTGGTTCAGCGCCACGTGAGATGTAGTCACCCTTACCAGTAGCTTGGACGCAGGATTTCACGACCCGCATTACCGCTGCTCATACAGCTGTTGCAGCGTTGTTCAAGTATGCGTGTAGGGAAACTGATGTGTGATCGCGTGACGCATTTACATGCCAAGCAATGTTCTGAAGTCGCAATGTATGGTTGCCGTCTGGCCGTGTGAGTAACATGCCTGTCAACCCCTGATCAGACCTTATTAGTCACCCTGTTCACCTTATAAATTCCAACGTGAATCCTACAAAGTCCAATCACAAGGGAGAAATACAAATAAATAGACAATCACCACGAGTAAACTCACCCACACACTCACTCGCCCACTCTCATACCTGTCAAGCCCTGATCAGTGCCATGCAGACCAATTCAGAGCTTATTGGTCACCCCGTGCCCGTATAAATCCCAACGTTCATCCTACAATTTCCCATCACAAGGGAGAAACACTAACAAAGATACAAAACATTTTTTGCCCGTATTGAAACGGCCGTAAGTCGTATGGACCTGAACGCTCAATTTCCCTGTACAAGAATACGGGGTAAACCGTGATGGGTTGACAGCTATTGAGCGAGCAATACCTTCTTCAACGTTAGCCCACGGTACAATGTAACGACCATGCGCATGTAGACCATACCAAAGGAAAGTCCATAAACTCGATAATGAAATGCTCTGCTGACTTTACACAATCCGTAATCTTACTTGCACTTTCCCGTAAGAAAGTCTGCACGGGACATGTACATTGATACAAGTACGGTGTTCGATTATGTGACGGAGGAGGCGCTCAGAAAGTGTGTGCCTTTAAAACGTGTTACCACCCGCAATAACCAGTACCCATTTGACGATGTGTGTGTACAGTTTTTGCCACATTGGGTAAGAGCCATTGGTATATTTTCATCACACACGTAGAAGCTTGCGTCGATGTTCACGTCTCACGACTGAATCTACGTGCCGTCGATTGTTTTTTAATTGAGACTTGATCACGCGTCGTTAATAATGCGGTAACGAGGAGGTCTTTACGCCTCTCCACGTGCCATTTCCTCTCTCAAAAACGCCTTCCGTTGAGCTCTGTCCACGATATTCAGCGAGAACGTCGCACGGAGACACTGCCATCCGGCATCCGAAGTGTTTAAAATTAATTCTAGATTTGAAGCTTTCGTGACTGCAAGGATTCATACTCTTAGTTCTTTCGGTAAAGTCACGTAGGTAAAAAATGAAATTAAAATTAATAAAAATAAAATAAAAATCACGACGTTTCGGAGGCAACACAAGTCTCCGTCATCAGGTGGGGCCGTCACAGCCAGATTTGCTGCATCAAGTACCTACGTGACTTTACCGAAAGAACTAAGAGTATGTTTAAAATTACTTAATGCCCTCTACAATCGTATGATTGTTACACCGTGTCATGGATTAATCGATTCAAGAAACACAATGGCACGGTTTTGCTCCACAGCTAATGTCAGCCCGACGATATATTCGCGTTCCCTTTCAAAGAATGCAGAAATAAAGATATCTGTTGGTTACACCGTTTGTGAATCGCCCGCAACTATCATTCTTTCGTGCGTCGTAAAACCTCGCTCGTGACAGGCGGTCTCAAAGGTGAAATCGCACAAACCATTTCACATCGTCAATAGTCTCATCATGAACTTGACCCGTGCCTGCTCTCCAAACCCTAACTTGGCTCCATAATGGTCGCCAATTAACCGTCTGTCTAAATCATTTGGTATTTGCCGTCCATTTCAATATATCAACCCCTTTAACATCTCAACTTTCAGCCATCTCCGTTGCCAACCATCTCAATTACAATATCTCACCTGTCAATCGTTCCTATTGTTACCCCCCCCACCACCCTCTTAGCGGACTACCCAAATGGGTGTTTGAAACATTACGCGGGTGCCAGAAATGACACCGTTTATTCCCTGTCTGTCCGTGTACTCACTGCCCCGGTGTGTCGAGCGCCACAAGCACAGGTTTAGATATCATCTCCTCTGAGTAGCAAACTACTTTTTGTAGAGGTGTGGCGTAACCACGGCCCAGCAAGTGTAATAATTGTCCAAGGTGATGTTTGTTTTGCCTTTTTCAGAGCCTGTTTATCTCCGGTTTAAACCGCCGTCTGTCTCTCTCTTATCTTGCACTGTCAATGTTCCAAAGATGCGCCCCCCGTATACACCGCACACAATTGTAAAAACACCACTGGCAATTGTATCACTTGTACATCCTTAACTTATGAAAATCAAAGCGGGTAAATGCTTAGGGCCACTACAAATATTCCAACTGTGTGCATTGTGTAAACTCTGCACGCCAGCCTTGGGCAACCAGCATGACTGTGTCTTGAGTTAGGCCAAGTACATATCTATATATATTTTAAAATAGCAATTTCGCTTCTGTATCATCAGCCTTTAGATTACCCTTTTAAGTGTTGTTTCGTCCTCTGACTAAGGAATATTTGCTATTTCACCCGACTGACAATGTTGTTTTCAGCAGAGGTAAACATGCAAACTTGCATGTACTGCACCGGGAAGGTGGAGCATAGAAACACACGTGTGTGTACTGTACCTCTATACTGTATAAAACATTTAGGCTTGGAAGATATAAATAGTACAGCATAAGCAAGCAAAGTATTATTTCAGCTGGCAATGGCGTATTACGGCATCGATCATTGTCAGACGTGGTCAGTCCACACTACTGGTTGAATACCTTTGCCAAACTACCCTCTTCCATCTCTTGCGATCCTTATCTGTGTCGTTGTGCTCCGTCCACCACATCTGAGCTGATTTTGTCGCTCCATCTCCCCAGTTAACGCCCTCTGGGACGCCTTTTGACTTGTTTGTCTACGGCTCGTTTTAATTCATTTGCTCCTTGACTTCCTTTCCAGCAATGCGTCCCCCCAAGTCCACTTTACTTTCAAGCTTGAATTGTCACATTGTAACATTAACCGGTGTCTTCTCAAATTCACGCATTCCTCTTTGCGCCACTCAATGTAATGTCAAGAGCGTGCCCACCTCCACGTTTCTTTGCGCACTTTTCAGCGCGCTTAAATTTTTTTCACATGCGTGATTCTGAACCAAACGTCAGCAAATGTACAAAACTTACGAAAGTTTTTCTTTGGTTATTAAGGTGTAGGCACACAGGAACGTTACTTTTCGTTATCAAGTTCTGTTTTCTAAAAAGCACTCCAACCTGATTCAACCCGCATTCTTTCATCATTGTGTTTACGGTCCGCTTTAAATAATCTATTAACTAAACTATTAAAGATTTTTTTTATTTTACTAGGTATGGTCCACTGAGCAATACAGCTCTTTTCCAGAAGCGACCTGGTGGCAAGTGATAGCCACGACGAAGTGGCTTATCATGTGGAAATGCATAGCAGCCAAATACTCTAAACGCGTGTTTCTAAATGTGGAGGGGAAAATCAGAGGGCAGGGAGAAAAATCCACGCGACCACGATGAGAACACGCAAACTCCAAATTAACAGGCGTCATGGTCGGGATCGAACCCGACCTCCTGTATACCAGGCGAGGTAGTTAACATCTCTCCTTTTTTTAATCATGTGTGTGGCGGTGTAAAGTGTGGGTGGCTCCCACCGCTTTCCAAGACGTCGGTTCGAACACCCTCTTAAATCAGTGGTCGGCACACCCGCGGGCTCTTTAGGGACCATCCATTTAGTAGGTACGCAAAAATCTGTCAAAACTTGATCCCTCCCCCCTCCCTGTACGCACGCGTACTTTTACCCCCCCCCCCCCACCGAATCCTATAGAACGGCCGATATTTAATCCACGCAGAAACGATGAAGAATTAATAATATGAACGTGTTTAAGCAAACAGATAGTCCACCGCCGGACTATCTAACTCAGTTGAAGGCCAATGTAGACAAATCATTACCGTGGCTTCACCTCCCCCCCGTTTCCTATGCGTACATTGTCAGTAGACCCCCCATAGGCAAGCTATGCATTTGGGTTAACCCCCTCTCCTCCCTCCATGCGTACGTACTAAATGGATGGCCCCTTAAGGAAGCGCTTCGTGGCGTTATGCATGAAGGACCGCCGTCTCAAATTCGCCACAGTGCACTGCGGCTCTTGAAATGTAAAGTTTTTTTTAATCGGCTTAACAAAAAGGTCTCTTAAATTTCGATTTAAAGCTTTCGTGACTGCAGGGATTCATCTTCTTGGTTCTTTCGGTAAAGTCACGTAGAATGGAAATAATAAAATAATAAAAATAAAACGTAATAATATAATAAAATTAAAGAATATTTTTTTATTATTTCCATTCTACGTGACTTTACCGAAAGAACCAAGAAGAAAAAACGTCTCTTGTTATTTTGGTTGCTGGCCACCTTGAGGCCTCTAGAGGGCCCTCCACTGGAGGCCCTTTCTCCAGCGGTGGCCTCATGAAGCAAAGCGATATCAGGGCTGCATCGATACTTTATCCAAACCTGGTGACGACCCATGGATCTCCGGGGATAATTTATGGGCGGGGGGGGGGAATGAAAGGGGACGCAGGTGGTGAAACATGCGAAAAAGAAATCACATTTTATCTTTGGCGGTTGAACACCAAGGTCGTGAGTTCCAATTTGCACTTGTATAAGTAAACCCAATGATCCACACAATCAGCCTTGCGCAATCATCTGTTGGACATTTTCCACGTTCAGGGCATCCGTGACGTGGCACTCCAAAGCGCTGCTGTGCAAACGAACCTTATGGCGGGACCCCGGGGTCTCGAATCAACGGAAGTCAAAATCGTAATCAATTCATTTATTTTTGGCGACTCCGTCCCACCGCGCACATAAGCGTCGCGACCCGCCTGGCGCGGATCGTTCTGTTGTCACGCCGTGTCCAAGCGCAGCGGCGAGGACGAATGCGCAGAAGAGCTGAACAAGCGAATGCTGCACTTCATGCTCGGGTATGGGCAAGATCATAAGTCAAAGCTGCTCAAACTGCCTCCACGACTTAAGTTCTTTATTTGTCACTAGCTGTCCTACCCGACTTCGCCCGGGACTTGGATTCAGCAAGCCCGGTGACGTTCACACACAACACACCAGTTACTTGTTTGAGGCTGAGTCGACCTCGGAGAGGCCCAGGACCGGTTGAAATAATCGTCACCGGTGGTGGCCGTGAGCGGGAATCGAACTCGGGTCGCCGGGTTCGTAGCGCAGCGTAGCGCTACCCGCTACACTACAATGCGTTACGCTTCCACGTGCCCGGGTCACGTGACAGATGTGATGTCACAGCTCA